ATTGTTTTATTTTGGTATTTCATGTTTTACTTTACTTTTTATGCTGTTAGTACTGTATTTTATACTCTAAGGTTTAGGATAAACACTGCGTACAACACAAATAGTTGTTTATTTCCCAGAAATTTGGCATAAAAAACACGGTCGTAAGTCGAGTGGTCGTAAGTCGAGTGGTCGTAAGTCAAGCAGGTCGTAAGTCGGATGGTAGGTGTAATCATTATTATAACAATAATAATAATACAATATAATAGTAATAATAATAATAATAACAGTAAGGATAAACGTCAAAAGGCCGTCAGTAGTTGGTGCCACCATCAGCAAAACATTGGTAACTACTACTAGTACACTTTGCACCTGTCTAGACTTTAGTCTTAAGTATGCATTTCTGCCCAAAATGCCTCGGCATGATAGTGGCTTTCTTTGCTCCAATCATATTATGATATGTAAACACACATTGTAACCTTTGCAAGAAATATATATTTTATTTATTTATTAATTCATTTAAGGAACCTCCCTTGAAGGGGAAGTTCGCATCCTGAAATTTCTTTCGAATTCTGAAGCAAAAAATCAACTGAACGACAGTTCGTATCCAGAAAAATTCACATGGTGGAGCGTTCGTAACCCGAGGTTCCACTGTACAGTGGACCCCCGGTATTCGATATTAATCCGTTCCTGAGAGCTCATTGAATACCGATAATAACGAAAACCGAATCAATTTTCCTCATAAGAAATAATGGAAATCAAATTAATCTGTGCAAGACACCCAAAAGTATGAAAAAAAAAATTTTACTACATGGAATATTAAGTTTAATGCAATAGAATAATAACAATAAAATAATTGACACTTACCTTTAATGAAGATCTGGTGATGATTGATGGGATGGGAGGAGGGGAGAGGTGTTAGTGTTTAGAAGGGGAATCCCCTTCCATTAGGACTTGAGGTAGCAAGTCCTTTTCCGGGGTTACTTCCCTTCTTCTTTTAATGCCGCTAGGACCAGCTTCAGTCACTGGATTTTTGTCGCACAACATATCTGTCCATAGTGGCTTGTACCTCCCGTTCCTTTATGACATCCCTAAAGTGTTTCACAACATTGTTAGTGTAATAGTCACCAGCACGGCTTGCAATAGCTGTGTTAGGGTGATTGTCATCAAAAAAGGTTTGCACTTTCAGCCACATTGCACACATTTCCTTAATCTTTGAAGTAGGCAACTTTTTCAATTTCTCTATCCCCTCCTCCGAAGCAGTTTCCTCAGGTCTGCCCTCTTGCTGTTCAAGATGATCTATCAGCTCATCAGTGGTTAGTTCTTTACTGTCCTCCTCCACTAACTCTTCCACATCCTCCCCACTAACCTCCAACCCCAAGGACTTCCCCAATGCCACAATGGATTCCTCAACTGGCATAGGATTCTCAGGGTTAGCCTCAAATCCTTCAAAATCCCTTTTGTCTTCACATTCTGGCCACAGTTTTTTCCAAGCAGAGTTCAAGGTCCTCTTAGTCACTCCCTCCCAAGCCGTACCTATCAGGTTTATACAACTGAGGATATTAAAGTGATCCTTCCAAAGCTCTTTTAGAGTCAGTTGAGTTTCTGTGGTCACTATAAAGCACTTTTGAAACATAGCTTTTGTGTACAGTTTCTTGAAGCTGGAAATGACCTGCTGGTCCATGGGCTGCAGGAGAGGAGTGGTATTAGGAGGCAAAAACTTGACCTTAATGAAGCTCATGTCCCCAGAAAGTTGCTCTGACAAGTCTGTAGGATGACCAGGGGCATTGTCTAATACCAGGAGGCACTTAAGGTCTAATTTCTTTTCAGTTAGGTAATTTTTCACATTGGGGACAAATGCTTGGTGTAACCAGTCACAGAAAAAGTCCCAAGTGACCCATGCCTTACTGTTTGCCCTCCACAGAACACACAAATTAGCCTTGAGGACATTGTTTTTCCTGAACACTCTGGGAGTTTCAGAGTGATACACCAATAAAGGCTTCACTTTGCAATCACCACTAGCATTGGCACACATCAACAGAGTAATAAGCCTGTCTTTCATAGGCTTATGTCCTGGGAGTGCCTTTTCCTCCTGAGTAATGTAGGTCCTGCTTGGCATTTTCTTCCAAAACAGGCCTGTTTCGTTGCAATTAAACACTTGTTCAGGTTTCAGTCCTTCACTGTCTATGTACTCCTTGAATTCCTTCACATGTTTTTCAGCTGTTTTCTGGTCCGAACTGGCAGCCTCACCATGCCTAATCACACTATGTATGCCACTACGATTCTTAAATCTTTCAAACCAACCTTTGCTGGCCTTAAATTCACTCACATCACCACTATTTGCAGGCAATTTCTTTACCAAATTGTCATGCAACTGCCTAGCCTTTTCACAAATGATCGCTTGAGAGATGCTATCTCCTGCTATCTGTTTTTCCTTTATCCACACCAATAACAATCTCTCAGCATTTTCTAACACTTGCGGTCGCTGTTTCGTAATCACAGTTGCACCTTTTACAAGAACAGCTTCCTTGATTGCCGTTTACCTGGTCACTATAGTAGAGATGTTGATTGGGGTTTATTATACAACCTAACCAGCTCCGACACACGCACTCCACTTTCGTACTTTGCAATTATCTCTTTCTTCATTTCATAAGTCATTAGCGACTTTTTTCTTGAAGGGTTGGCACTAGAAGCTTTCTTGGGGCCCATGGTGACTTATTTTGCAGAAACAAGCACGAAACACAGTGATAATATGGATAATATGGAATGTACCGAATGTATCCTTAGATGCGCGCACACTGGCTGGCTTGTAAACACTGGCACACAAGGGGCAGTTCAGGCCACACGTGGACACGTCTCATACGAATCGTATAGAATACCGGGTTTTCAATCGAATACCGAGGAAAATTTTTTGCGATATTGTGTATCGAATACCGGATTTATCAAATACCAATGCCATTGAATACCGGGGGTCCACTGTATTACAAATGATAGACTTTGAATGGTTTATGGACTAAAAGTATCCTGAAATTGAGCTCAAAACAGGGAAAATGCTCGATTTTTGGCAATATTCAAGAGTAAACAAATTACGTCATGCATGCAATACATGTCAACTGGTGGGTCTAGTATGCTTTCACAAATGTGCTGATATTATTTATGTAATTTTTAAAATAGTGCAGTAGTCTGCATAACAGTTAATCTTCTATTTTTTGTGTAAATAAAACTTCAAAATGGAAAGAAAGCATAATATAAGAGGGACCTGGAGACATGACTAATGAAAAGAGAAAATGTTATTTTAGTGCTAGGAATGTTTGCAGTGTTAATTCTGGACCCTATACTGAAATTGGCCAATCTACCAATTTCTGATCACTTTATTGGGTAGCCCAAATTGGTAAATGGGCAGTTCTTGCACTCAGTTGATAGAACAAAAAGAGTTCTAGCGAACAGCTATGAGTTTGGTCGGCTGGAACAATGGAATTGGCTGAAAATAGGGCTCAAATTGGGCAAAATCGCTGATGCGTAAGTATCGCTGAGACCGCTAACTTTGTGAGAACATAATTCCATAAGTTCTCCATCAAATTTTTTATTTTTGGTTTCATTACCATCAGAACAAGATTATCATTTCCTAAGAATTTTTTTTTTTTTTTTAAATTCTTCGACACTGACAGCAAGTTTGTGAGCAGAGATCTTGACACTGAAAAGGTTAACCGATTAGCAGACGAAGGACCTTTTGCTGGTCTGGGCAATAAATTCCAGATCTTAGAGACATTTATGTGCATTCCATTTTTGCATAGGGTGAGTTAAACTGCATAAGAACTCCGTTTAATTAGTCTGTGTAAATCTTAATCAACATTTAAGCATTAGGATTAATTTGCCCCAAAAACACTGCATACTAGTGACTTTCTTACATGTAAACTACATTACGTATTTCTACTGCATAAAGAAATAAAAAATTTGTACAGTGGACCCCCGCATAACGATTACCTCCGAATGTGACCAATTATGTAAGTGTATTTATGTAAGTGCGTTTGTATGTGTATGTTTGGGGGTCTGAAATGGACTAATCTACTTCACAATATTTCTTATGGGAACAAATTCGGTCAGTACTGGCACCTGAACATACTTCTGGAGTGAAAAAATATCGTTAACCGGGGGTCCACTGTATTTATATACTGTATTTAATATGGTTATCACATAACCTGGTTACTATGACAACACAGGAGCTTCTAAGAGGGCAATACAATGTGCTCTATTTATAATTTAAATTTTATCCAACATACATAAAACATTTATTATTCAATCCAGTCTCACAGCAATCGAATACAAGACTAAATAAATGAACAATAAATAAAACAGATTTAAAATAAAAGACAAGCGTAACTTCGGTACCATTCAACGTTCACAAAAACTTCTCCTGCCTGTGTACAAACATGTATCATGCTGAAATAAAATAAAATTAGTAGTAGTAGTAGTAGTAGTAGTAGTAGTAGTAGTAGTAGGAGGCTATTTAAGAAATACTGGTGGTACAGTTGTTTTAACTTACAAACAAGTTCCTGTTGTTTTAACTTACAAACAAGTTCCTGTTGTTTTAACTTACAAACAAGTTCCTGTTGTTTTAACTTACAAACAAGTTCCTGTTGTTTTAACTAATAAACAAGTTAGTACAAGTTAGTTTCTGTTGTTTTAACTAACAACATGTATGATGTTTGTTATTTTAACAAACATCATACATGTTTGGGTTCATATGGTCAAAACATTAATGGCTCAGGAATATTCCATTCATAAGAGAGATTTTATAACTAGGACAATTAGTTAGACACCCAGAAGAGTTTACTAGACAATAGTGTACATTTTTTATAACTAGAATTTGCTAGTTAGAAACTTGGTTTGTGTAGAGCAGCCTCGTGACAAACTTTAGGATCACAGTGAAGGAGTTACCTTCTGCAGACTCACCCTGTGGGACTGTTCCCCCATTACCATGACTCACCCTGTGGAACTGTCCTCCCACCACCCTGACTCACCCTGTGGGAATGTGCCCCACCACCCTGATGTTATAGTTGTGGTGAAGGTCGGTGAAGTAAGACACCAGTGTTCCAACAATCACAGCGAGGAGTTCAAAGGGTATGGGAATCTTCGAGATCTTGGAGAACCACGG